AAAAAAAAAAAAAAAAAAAAAGGAATGATATAATGGACTTTGGCGACTTGGGAGAAAGGGTTGGGGTGGGAGGGCAGTGAGGGATAAAAGACCACAAATAGAGTGCAGGGTATACTGCTTGGGTGATGGGTGCACCAAAATCTCACAAATCACCATTAAAGAACTTACTCATAAAATCAAATACCTCCTGTACTCCAATAACCTATGGAAAAATAAATAAAAAATAGAAAAAATAAATAAAATTATTGGCTGATCTAAAAAAGCAATGTTAAAAATGGGTAGTCTTATTAAAAAACAATGATAGAAACATCATGAAGTTCATATAACCTCAAAGTAATTTCACATCTTTTACGTTTTTCTATTTCAACTATAAATTAGTGCTTGTTATGATAATCAAAGTACTCTAAAACAATCAGATGTCTTCTAAATCATCAATTAAAAATATTTTCAGTAATGTGCATTGTTAGATATATTTTATTGTGCTCTCATTCTGTGAAAATTGGTAATCCAAGTATGGCATATATGCTAATTACCAATTAATGACTGACTAATCGCAACTCAACCTTGGGCAAAGCCATTTTCTATGGATTTCCTCAACTATTAACTGGGAGAAAATGATTCCTGCCCACAGGCATCTTGGTGAAGAATTTATTTGAAAATACTTTTCTGATAGAAAGTTCCAGACAGACATTTTCATGACACAATAACTTTGAAGTTGAGCAATGAAGTATGCTACCTTCAAATGAAACTAGAAGGGGTGACAGATTGGTAGAGCACGAATTTTGAAACTGAAACTGGCTGGGACATCAAGGTTAACGTTACCCTTTAACCTCTTTCTTTCCCCTTTGCCCCCTTTTCCTTTCCCAAGCAAAGTATGGAGTGATTGGGAAGTAGGCCCTTACATTTTCTTTAAGAAAGTGGTATAGTGCTAGTTCCCTGTGATTTGGGAGGGAAAATCTCATTTGATTCCTCACCTCAACAATTTCCTATGATGCCTGTTTCTGCGAGTGGTATTTATGAGTTCTTGTTTTTTAGACAATTGCCTTGGAAATGTATCTAATCAAATACTGATATAAAGAGGAGCCAGATGGGAAGGCTATGGAATGTTGAATTTGTCCTAAGTTGAGTTCCTGTTTATAGGAGGAGAGCCTGAGACCCTTTTTGCTAGTTTAGCTTTCTCCTTTGCTGAGTCTGCACATTTGAAATATTTTAGTGTTAGCCCGCTGTGACACACTGCCTGTCCAGCAGCTTAATTGATACTTAAGCAAGTTCACAATATGTCCTTCATATAATTAAACACTGGGGCTATGCACAAAAGGATATGTTTTTAATGCATCAGTTATGGAGACATTTTATCATCAGCCCCTTATTTCCACTGTCTTAATACAGCAGAGTAAAATATGATACTTAGGTATCATTATGCTTTGCCCTTTTCTACTTCCAAACCTGTTGGATCCTCTCTGGAAAGGGAGTCTTACGACCTACAGTCAAACAAGCTAGGTCAGATAATTTCCTTATGGCCAGCTTTTACCCAGAAAAGCAGAGGAAAAATCAGAGTGATATTTTTAGGTTTAATGACTGACTTTGGAAAAAAGGGGTTCTGATTTCTATGACACGCCTTGAGGAAGAGGGATTCTAGTTTTTATGGCTATCCTCGGGGGAGAATGGGACTGAGAGACTGGCAGTTAGGGGAAGGTCAGAGAAAAACTTTTGCTTCTGACGCTTTCATTTTGGGGCATTGTTTTCTGAGCCTCAGCATAGTCATCTATGTTTGACAGGTCTGCTCCATTTCAGCTGCTGGGAATATTCTCAGCAAACACTTACCCAGTGTGTTCAGCAGCAATCAGGCTGTTGGTGATAATGTAGAAGTTTATTAGAACATGAAGAGAGGAATTACCTACAAGTAATTCTGGAGAGCTGGCTACCAGGAGCCAAATGCCTCATAGGCAGAAATTCATTGAATAGCATGCATTTATTATATGTTGCCAGCAGTTTAAGCATTTGAGCTCAAACTTCCTATTACACCCTCCCCAGCATGCGGGCCACCCACCAGTTACAAGGCATGATGACACGACAGATGACCCGTCCTCCTTGGTAGCAGTATGGATATGGGTAGTAACCTAGTAAAGGTTCACAGACGCGGCGGCAGTAGCGGTTGCCTCGACGGCAGTAAATACAACAATAACCTCTCTCATCCAGCATGGGATCAAATTCTATTCCATTTTCAGTCTGAAAGAAGAAGAAGCCAGTGTTGGGGGTGGGAGAGGAAGGTTCACTAGCAAGAGTTCTCACCAAGCAGGGGAGAACTAGAAGACTGTATGAGTTGGGGGCTTGTGAGAAATTAAGCTCCTTAGCCTGATCATGGAGATATATCTACAGAGATTGAGATTGATTTTGAATGAGCCTCCCGGAGATTTCAAGTTGCTTAAACATTTTTTTTTTTGTTGTTGTTAAAGCCATGATCATCCTCCTTCCAACGATTGTGATCTGAGGGGTAGTAAGTTTTGTGAGGGCTCTTTTTTTCTCCTCTATCAAGAGTTTACATAAACATAACTCACATAGTCATTTATTGGAAGTTCTTCCTCACTTGCTTGTCTGGCGTGACGGGTCTTCTCTACCTTCACTTGAGGGACCACCCACTGTTCATTTTGTTCAATCCCTTTTTTTTCATTGGCAGGAAAGTGAAGATCTTCTCCATCCTCCTCAAAGTCTTGTAACTCGGAAACTAAGATAATATATGCAAAGTTGTGATGCAACTGCTTTGCAAATGTTCCTGAAAGAAGTGCTTGGGGGAATAGCAGCTGGGGATAGAGATATTCATTGTGTCTTTAAACTGGCATCATTTAGGCATGGACCACTTTTCCAAGCTCCTTCAGTTGATATTTTAGAGTAGTTTCCAAAACAAGCCTGATCATTTCTACATACACAAACTTCTTTGCTTCTTTGGCATCAAACATTTACTGCTTTGCCTTACCAGCATACTAAATTAAAAACTGAGAACAAGGGACTTCTGTATCTCCTACAGTGATGATTTTACCCATGGTAGATGCTCAATAAATATTTCTTGGTTGCCTGAATTGATTTGACATCCTCTGTCCTCCCACTTTCCTTATGTTTCTTGTCTTAAAATTTTTTTAAAAAACTTTCTGTTTAGAAGTAATCTTAGATTATGGAAGAGTTGCAGAAATAGTACAGAGTTCACATATTCTTCACCCAGTTTCTCCTAATGTTATCTTACATAACCATGGTACAATGATAAAAAATCAGAAGTTAGCATTGGTGCAATGTTACTAACTAAACTACAGACTTTATTCAGATTTCATTAGTATTTTTACTAATGTTCTTTTTCTGTTCCAGTATCCAGTCCAGGATACCACACTGCATTTAGTCACCTTTTTTGTATCTCTAAAGAGTACCCACAGATGCTTACATTGGTGAGAATAACCTCTCTTGGGTAATAGAGTAATCTATGCTGTGCAGAATGAGGGAGGCCAAATTGCATGTTAGCTAAACAGACTAAGACATCCGGGGGCCTTTACCTTTTCTATGGGCTGACTGGAAGTTGAGGGCTGGACTCTTCTACTCTGGACGTCTAGCCCTCAACTACTTTTATAGTAATTCCTAAAAGAGCGACAAAGAAATTTGTATTGCAGTGATTGTCTTATTTTCTAAGGAAAATGCCACCATTTGACATAGGGAATCCTTCTTGACAGCAGAGTATTGTTTTTGCCCTTCTCTCCTCTATTCTTGGGTTGGACCCACAGTGGTTTGAGCAACGATCTGGTATAACGACTGCAATGAATATAGATGTGCAAAGAAAGATAGATTAGTTTTTTGCTATCACTAGTCACATTAGGATGGTGTTACCTTTGCTGGGATATTTAAAAGCCTGTCAACATTAATTTTTCTGATTTATAACTTGGCTGTGAAAAATTCCCTCCTCACTGGCAGTCAGCATATATAGACTCATCCAAGAAGGTATAAACCAATCATTTGTTTTCCTAGAAACGTAGCCTCTAAATGCTGGGAATGTTAACCTGTTACTGTCTTAGAAAATAGGAGGAGGATGAGGGTAAGGATGTCATACCTGATATTAGAGTGGGATTGATCCAATACATGGTCACGTTGTCACAAATCTCCAGAATTTTGGAATTTTTAAGAAAATCTCGGTTTTCAATAGGCTTTTCTGCTGGGACCCAAATCACTGACTGTTCAAAAAAAGTTGTGGTAATTTCTTCATTCTGAAAGAAGAAAGTAGCTTAGGGTGGGGATTGGCAGAGAAATTAATAGAACAAGTGAGACATTATGGGATGCTGGAAAACAACATATTTTGAGTGTGAGTAACAATTTTAATCCTAGTGCTGCTGGTGAACTAGCTCTGTGCCTTGCATTCAGTGGGTGTTGGGGGAGTTAACAACTGATCCTTCCTCCATCCTGGGTCTAACAGCAAGGCTGCTTACTAAACTAGGAGCCTTCTCTGTTACCATTTCACTCAAAGTCAGAAAGGCGCTTCATTATTTTCAGCATGTCCTGGGTCTGTGTATGTTTTAACTTGAGCTTCTGGAACCCTGAGTGATTTACATTTGTTTTCTTTTTTATAAATACATTTTGTTAGCCTGCCTTATTTAGGCTTGCATCTTGGGTGGCAAGCAGGATTTGATCTGGAGCTGAAAAAACTCCTATAATCCAAACTCGTGAGATCAATTCAATAACAATGGGATCTAATATTTGGGTTTTACAAGATTTGCCTGTTGATGGTAGCCAGTTATCGTACAAAAGATATCTTTTTATGTTTTAAAGTGAGGTCTCCAGTTTTTGACTTCACTGGCCTTCCTACTATTGCATTCCTTTCATTGTAGATGCTTAGAGTTTATCTCACAGAGCGTTTTTGCTTTAAGCAGCTTTTTGTATACTGTGAAGGACGCCACTTTCTCTTCAGTTTCTAGTATTGAGGTAATTGTGTTGTATACCTAGTTCTTACTAATTTCTCCCGGAATCATTTACAATTCTAAAGTCTTAGCACCTTTGTCCTTGAGTCTGTAACGACCTTGAGATGCATTGAAAGGAATTGTATAAAATGAGGTTGGTATGCTGACTAGCTTTGTTAGCAAAATCAGGGCTATTTATATACCTGCTCTGCATGTTTAAAATACACATGCCATGGATACAGTGTGGAGGGAAGTACAGAAGAGGGTTTTGTCATTCAGGACCACAAATTTGTCTCATTAAAAGAAAATCTGTGGTGTGTATATAAAAAATAAGATTTACTTGAAGCTACAATATTCTTACTATCATGAAATGAATATTTGTGTTATTTAAAATATTTGGTGAAATTAACTGAAGACTAAATTAGGGCCAAAATGAGACATTATGAGCCTTTTCCTTTATTTTTTATTTGTTTATTTATTTTTTGACACTGAGTCTCACTCTGTTGCCCAGGCTGGAGTGCAGTGGCGCAAACTCGGCTGACTGAAACCTCCACCTCCCGGGTTCAAGCGATCCTCCCACCTCATCCTCTTCAGTAGCTGGGATTACAGGCACGTGCCATCATGCCTGGCTAATTTTGTTTTGTTTTAGTAGAGATGGGTGTTCACCATGTTGACCAGAGTGGTCTCGAACTCCTGACCTCAAGTAATCCCCCTCTTCAGCCTCCCAAAGTGCTGGGATTATAGGTGTGAGCCACCGTGCCCAGCCCCCTTTGCCTTAATCTTTCAGAAAAATAAATCCTATTATATCACTTCAGGTTCTCATTGCTGGCTGGCCTACTCAAATGCTTACATTATTTTCTGAACGTAATTAGCATATGTTATTGTGTATAGTAGCTTTTTAATCCTATTGATTTTCCTTTTATCTTACCTTTGCCTACTGTAGTCATTCCTAATATCCTGAACGTTGATCTATTCCTCAGATGCATCTAACTCATGCTTACTTTAAAAAAAAAAAAAAGTCTCCAAACTCTGTCACTACCATAGACCTTGGGAGCAGAGCATCATCTTTGGGAGAACGTTCTTTGTTTTCTTGGAAATTCTAGTAACAAGGGTCTGTAACTTCTCTGGCCCTGAGGAGACCAGTAGCATGAAAGAGTAAAATGGGAGCCAATGACAGCTCTAAGACTTGGGTAAGGGAAGGAGAAATAGTCCTCCCCACCCACTACCCCCAAATAAAGAAAAAATAAAGGAAAAGAAATGGGTTAGTGAGAATCAAGAAGGAGGGAGCTGGGTGGGAGAAAAGTGAAAAAGAACAGGGAGAGAGAGAAGAAAGAAAGAGGTTTTTATAGTTTGTAGAAAGATCACTCTGCCATGGCCGGGCGCGGTGGCTCACGCCTGTAATCCCAGCCTTTGGGAGGCCTAGGCGGGCGGATCACGAGGTCAGGAGATTGAGACCATCCTGGCTATGGTGAAACTCCATCTCTACTAAAATACAAAAAAAGAAAAGAAAAAAAAATGGCGGGTGCCTGTAGTCCCAGCTACTCAGGAGGCTGAGGCAGGAGAATGGCATGAACCCAGGAGGCGGAGCTTGCTGTGAGCTGAGATTGCCCCACTGCACTCCAGCCTGGGTGACAGTGTGAGACTCCGTCTCAAAAAATAAATAAATAAATAAATAAAGAAAGAAAGAAAGAAAGAAAGAAGGATCACTCTGACATTGCCATAATTCCACTTTAGATTTTCCAGCTAAGCAGTAAACTAAACCAATGCTTGTTTTTTTTCTTGCTATAGTGGGGATATGTTGTCACAATATGACCTTAACTGAGGTCCCCCTTCTCCCACTAATAAAACCATACTGTAATTATAGACAAAATAACAGGAAACAATAAAGAGCCTCAGGGACCTTACAGATAGTTGTATTATAGGCAATAACATCCATCTCCCATTAGGTTTTCAGGGGCCATTCAGTGATTGCACCAGCACCCTAGGTTGCCTTACTTTGGCCTAGCAGGGTGTTTTTAGAGAGTTTGTATCACATTTCAGTGTTCACCTTCTTTGCTTTTGCCTTTCCTAGTGAGGTTAAATGTGAATTATTGGCCGGGCGCCGTGGCTCAAGCCTGTAATCCCAGCACTTTGGGAGGCCGAGACGGGCGGATCACGAGGTCAGGAGATCGAGACCATCCTGGCTCACACGGTGAAACCCCGTCTCTACTAAAAAAAAAAAATACAAAAAACTAGCCGGGCGAGGTGGCGGGCGCCTGTAGTCCCAGCTACTCGGGAGGCTGAGGCAGGAGAATGGCGTAAACCCGGGAGGCGCAGCTTGCAGTGAGCTGAGATCCGGCCACTGCACTCCAGCCTGGGTGACACAGCAAGACTCCGTCTCAAAAAAATAAAAATAAAAGTGAATTATTCCATTAGCAGCCCAGCATAAAATGGTAAGGTGAATGAACCACAATCTTTAAAATAGGTGAATACTGAAGTGTGACAAAAGTGGCAAGAACCCCAGGTGGCTTTGGAACTTTCTTTTTTAAAAATGCTTTATCTGAGGCAAGATTTTGTTTCTCTGGCTCATCCCTCTTACTAGAAATCTTTGACTTCAGAGAAAATCAACATAATGTTAATGGGTGCCCTGGTATAAAAGTATAGCATTGCACCTAAAATTATGCAATTCAGTTTTTTGAAAGGCCTAAGTTCAAGACCCCAGTCTGCTACTCACTAGCTGTGTGACCTTGAGCAAGTCACTTTTTGGCTCTGAGTTCGAGTTTCCTGATCTGAAAATGATGATAATAATAGCACCTATCTATAAGGTTGTCGGAGAATCAAAGAAAAGTGAAGCATTTAGTACAATGTTTGGCACATAGGTAGCATCCAATAAATGATGCCTTTTGCCACCACAATTATTCTTCTTACATACCTCGTCTATTTCCTCTTCTGGTTCAGAAAATTCAGGAATCACTTTAATCTGAGTTTTGATAAAACATTTTTGAAGACCCACGAAGTAGATGCCAGTGTATCCCTATGAAACAGACAAAACAACAATAAAGCTTCCCAAAAGACCCACTATTAGTAAGTTCCATGATCTGTTGGGGTACCAGACTAGCAAAATTTGAATTCATAATGGAATGCTAGCCTCCTCTAGGTTTCCATTTGAATTCAAATTTTAGATGGAGGCTATTTTTAACTTGACTCAACTGCTCTAATATTTTAAGTGGAAAGCCTTAGGGGGAAAACATCCAACTTACGTTTTTAAAGTCGTGTACTTCCAATGTTTCATCAGTGCCATTTCCGCTTCTGAATATTTCAGTTCTGGTCACAGGATCAATTTCCATGTAAATCTTCTTCTTCTCTCCATTGCTGTAGAAAGTGTGCTCCATGTCATAGGTCTGGGAGAACAGAGGAAAACAATCTCTAAGATATTCAGTGTGGGTCAGGAGATGGAGATCATCCTGGCTAACACGGTGAAACCCCGTCTCTACTAAAAATACAAAAAAATTAGTCGGGCGTGGTGGCGGGCGCCTGTAGTCCCAGCTACTCGGGAGGCTGAAACAGGAGAATGGCGTGAACCTGGGAGGCGTAGCTTGCAGTGAGCCGAGATCTTGCCACTGCACTCCAGCCTGGGCGACTGAGCAAGACTCCATCTCAAAAAAAAAAAAAAAAAAAAAAAAAAAGGATACTCAGTGTGTCCCTAAAGTGAGGTGCTTTTTGGTGCTGCAGCTGATATGGAGATCACTTCAGAGCTGGTATTTTGAATTCAAGCCAAGCTGCTGAACTAATTACTAAGAATTCCAACAGTTTTCTTGGCAGCCTTGGCTAAATAGCAAATGATAGTTTGCAAACCAGCCTATAAAGTATTTTCCCCTTGTGTTAAGCTGAGGGATCACCTAAAACCTATGCTGCTTCTTTAAGCTACCACTTCCCTTTCCAAGTGCTAAGTAATCACGCCCCCCAATCCCCCCACACTGCCCCTTCCCTCGCCCATGAAATTCATTAGGTCTGAGAAAGAGATTTGAATACACTTAAAATGGTTACGTATTGTTTGTCTCTTTATCTATCCAGGGCTTTAATATTGCCACAACAGCCTTGAATCTATCCTTTTAGAATCTGAAGACTTTCTCCTTGCCAATATTAGTCCTACCCTGCTCTGTTTGCTTCCTTTTGCACCTTAAACTCCAGGAAACATTTATACCTTTCCTTAGTCTTCTCTTTATAGGGCAACCAACCCCACCCAGTTTGTTCCTGGGTTCTGTTTCCCAGGCCATATTCAGTTGTTTTCAAGTTCTGCAGATTCTTTTGTGTATATGGAATTAAGCCAACTGAGCCAAGTGTCCTGCATTAAGTAACGTGGAGCCTCCCAAGAAGAAAGGCTGCTCATCAGGTCTTTCTTGAGTGGCTAAAACAAAACCCCAGATTTTCTCCTGTGCTCTAAAAGAGGCAATTGTATTTCTAAAGACCAAGAGGACCAGTCCCATATGGTACTGCAGTTTAGGAGTAAGCCCTTATCTTATAATTTTAGGGCATATTTATAGGTAGAAGCAAATAAGCGTAAAGGAATTTGTTATCTGTCACAAACCAGGCCAGACCTGATGATGCCTTTTGGAAGTCTATCTTATCTCTGTCATTAGGAGACCTTTGTTTATCAAGTTTCTTCATATTCATTTTTCCTTATGAAAAAAAATTTGGAAAACTAAAAGCCTTAAAAAGCAAGTCTTCAGAGCCCACATTGCTTTCTAATGATACGGTTCCCAGTGGCAGCCTTGTAGAGAACTTACACCAGGTTGGGTCGTTTTTTAGTGTCTGCTGATGCCATTGACTGAATGTTAGTTTAACCTGGTCAAATATTCACCAACTCAACTAGAGAAAAACAAATTGGAACCATTTGTAGAAGCAAGTATTACTTCAAGGATGGCAAGTCTAATGTAGCTGCTGAAGAGAAAATCAAGAGTCAATGTCATTTACCCCTTGGTAGCTCTACAGTGCCTTGGACATGGTTGGAACCTAAGTATTTGTTGAATAAATTTTCCCCACCAATGGCACATCCTTATCTTCCTAAAGAGAGATTTTTGAGTATTGGCAAGGTCTTTTAAAAAAACCATTTTAAAAGTGAAAGAAAAACAATACTTAGAACTCTCCAGCAACTGCAGAGTTAACTCAGGAAGTCTGGCCTGGTTTGTGATAGTTAGCAAATTCCTTTAGGTTTGTTATTTGCTTCTAGCAATAAATATGTCCTTAGTTCCAGCTCTGCAGCCAGCTTGAGAAGAGAAACGTCTACCTATGGCAACAAATTGAGCTCTCAGTCTGTCTGACTTAAGTAGAGGAGAGAGGCATCCACTTCAGATCCAGTCTTGTCAGCTCTCCCAACGGGGGAATTTTGTTAGAAATACTATCCATTTTTGAGACAAATGTTGATGCCACTAGCCATTGGGGGCTGGGGTGGGGTGTTTATTTCATCAGTAGCACCACTGATGGATTATTGTATGGAAAAATGAGGTTAGAGACTAGGGGATGCTGGAACACTGCCTAACTGGGCGAAAGAAAAAATACAGGCTGTATTTTCAATCACTGGTAGAAGACTATGGAACCTACTGGTGACATTTAGAATTTCAGTGTGTTTCTGTGGAATGAGTTTTCCTGCACTGTTGGCAATGCACTTTACTTGGACACCTTGCTAGATGAAAACTATTGGAAACTGCCAAGCTCAGCAGATCTTGATTATTTTCAACATTCCTGCAAAGAGTTTTTTTTTTTTTGGTAGGAGAGAAGGGGTCCATTCTGATTGTGCTCATTAACTTGTTGACTTTATGTTAGTAATGATAAGTTACTAAATAGAGTGGGAACAGAATGACTTCGTTTATGTGTGACTCCTTGGTAGGGGGTAGGAGTGGGAAGCTATATATTCACCCAGACAAAATTTCACTATCAAGGTGTCCTTTTGAAACAGACCATTCTTCGTCTAGGAAGATGATGCTGGTGGCCCACTTTGGACTGTTTGGAGATGGGTATGAGCAAATCCAGACACACTGTCTCGCCTGGGTCCCTGTGGAGCACATTGCTTGGGTAATGGCTATGCAAGCTTCACTGGCCCATATGAAGACTGAGCTCATGCCTTTGGCATCACAAGTACTTTGCTCTCTACTAAGCTTCCTGGCTCAGGGGTTGAAGGTCTTTCTGGAGATGAAAGAATAAATGGCTTTGTCCTCTCCAGGAGCAAGCTAAAACAGAGACAGGATGACTGGCCTGAAGAGAGGTGTGAGTGGGCTACAAGTAGCTCATCGCAGCTGCCTCCAACTCAGCTTTATTCCAGGAAGGATAAGGCAAGGACAGAATATGATGAGAAGTACACCCCTGCCCCACTGGCAAATAGAGTTAATTTTTGGTGCTTCTAGCTTTTCTTTTCTGTTCTATTTTCATATTCATTCTATACCCTCATAGCCCTTCCCCCTTCTCTTCCCATCTCTGTCTGTCCCTTTGTCTCCTGTCTAGACATCTAGGAATCTTGTGGTGCTTCAGGTACCTTATGACAAAGAAGAAATCAATCTGACCCATGATTTCACACTTAGATATTAGTGATGAATGTTTGTCTGTTTAAAAATTTGAGTGCAATACTTCACTCAGAGGAATGAAGTACTAATGGTCCATTTTATTACTTTATTACTTTGCCATTACTTTCAATGGCAAAAACCACAATTACTTTTGCACCAATCTAATAGGCACAGTGGCACGAGGAATGGGAGATATTTGGGGGCAAGGGCATCTTTCCAGCACCACTCAAATGGGCTCTTACTCCACCCACACATAAGGCTGGCCTTAACTATAAGAACCAGAACATTGGAATGGAACAAGGAAGCCAATGGAGTGGAATAGGAATCAGAAGTGAAATGAGACAGATATGTGATTAAGTCCAGGCAGTGAGAGGTGTAAGAAGACCACACTGACAAAACATGTAGAGGACACAACCCATTTTTCTTCCCTGCCCAGGAATTCTGTCTTCAGTCCAGTTAAATCCTCCATTCAGGCAGCAAATGAGCCCTAACATCCCTCTTTCACGGTTTTCCCTGTTTTCTTGCCTCTGTGGCAGTCCCTGAGATCAGAAAAGAAAGCTTTTTATAAAAAGTAAAGCTATCTCAGACCTCAGTGTGATGGATCTGTTTTGGGGGCAAGAAGCTTTAGCCTGTCCTGACAGGGATTTGAGGGCATTTGGCTTAGGTTTGTTTTTTGAAGCCTGTGATTAATCTAGCTGCTCTTCACTCCATCTTCATCCCTTACTGTCTGTTTATGAGGTACACTCTCCAAAGGTGAAATACATGCTCAGAATAGCTGGCTAGCAGGTGTTGGGCTGGAAGGAAGGGAAGAGAATGCACTGTACCATATTATTATTAACCTAACTTGGGGGAATTAAAGGGCCTCTGGGTATTTCTTAACCAACACAGAGCAGACAGATTGTTCCCTATGCGAAGTTAGAGTTCTGCATCTTCAATCACCATTTGGCAATATGCAAAATATTGGCATAAGCAGTACAGACATTCTTTTTCAACAAGAAAAAGCTACTTCTTTTATCTACAGACTTGAGCTGGCCAGTAAGTTTTTCCCCTACCCATTATCCCCATCCCCGATTCTTAAATGCAGCTGAAGAATAGTGGAAAGAATCTTCAGACTAGCCTCTAGTTCTAACATTAACCCCACCACTTACAAGCTGTGTGATTTTGGGCAAGTCACTGAGTGTCTCTAGGGACTCAGTTCCTATTTTAATCCTTCACTCCTTT